TGCTCTAATTTTACTGAAAAATTCTCCTGAATCTGAATTTCGTATATCTGAGCTATAATCCTATTTATTTGAGGGTTCCTGCAAAACCCGGCATAGTAAGCTTCCGCGTTAGCTAAATTATCCGTCCATATTATTAGCTTTTTTTTTGGCCCATAACAGTAAAAAGGTGTGAATTGCTATGAATGTCGTTAGTAGTTCACGTTCCTGGATATCATGTTCGGCTATAGCATCTTGATTTGCCCATTTAAATGCAGTGAAATAGTTCTTGAACGTTGTCTCACCACCTATATTTGATGCATCTGTGTATAAGTTTTGTATGTTTGGAATTTGCCAGATTTGGTCTTCCATTAGGTAGGTGCCAGGCCATTTTTCTATAATATTGATCCACCACTGTATGTCTGTGTTCATGGGCTTGGTTATTCTTACATAGTGTTTCTGATTTTTTACTCCTTCCTGTGCTTTGATAAACCTCTGTACGAACGGTCTTCCCTGGGGAAGTACCTGACATACCCACATCAGGAGCCCGACGATCGATTGGAGGTCTCTTTTAAGACACCATATTTTGGCGGCCTATTCTTTTTTCTCTTTTGGGGTGGAACTGACACAGGCATAGTCTCTGTGTCTATCATAATTCCGAGGAATGTTATGCATGTGTTAGGGCCTTCTAACTTCGATTCCTTGAAGGGCACCTTGATTATGTCTAATATCCATAAGAATTGTTGCAGTTCTTTTTCGCCACTAGTCTTTGATATTATTAAAAAATCATCGACGTAGTGAATGATTGATCTGATTCCTTGCTGGGTGGCAATCCACGTGATTACGTCTGCGAATCTGCAGAAAATGCCCCCAGATGCTTTATTCCCGAAATCTAATGCTTTATTGAAGTAAATGCTTTCGCCCCTGCAGAACTTGATCCACCGGATGTACAGGTAATATCCGATATGCATCTTTAATATCTATTTTGGATAACATGCACCCTTTTCCATACAAATTAATCCACCTTATTGCATGACTCACGTTTTCGTATATTCACTGGGGTCAATGCCGTCATTAATGCTTGCACCGAATAGTGCTGATAAGTGAGATATCACTCAGAACACTTTGGGGTTTGTCCCCTTTTTTTCGACTAAACCACAAGGGTTCACTTGATAAAGGTCACATGGAGGTCCCTCTTCTGAAAATGGACCACATATGTGGCCTTTCTTTGCTTCTTCTTGAATGTATTTTAAAAATACCGTTTGGTCCAATTCAATTGATTTTAAGTTTTCTTGGATTCTTTTTACCCTTGCGTCTGAAAAATTAAATCTGAAACCCTTCGTGATCCCTTGTATTAGGTATTATTGAATTTGTCAGGGCTAATCTGAGAGAGGATTTTTGATTCTTCTGCTGTAAAAGGAACATGTCGTGGAGGAATGCTGTGCAATGTCTCATTTACTAACTGGAGAACTGGTGGTTACATGTTGTTAAGTTTCGTGATAGTCTATACTGAGCCACGTGACGAAACTCCAGACTATACCTATTGTCTGAATACGTTATTGCCTTGGTTAGTTTCTAACTCTTTTTTTTTTTTTTTTTTATATGTATAATTATATGCCTCTATGTAGTTGCACTAATATTTATATGTGTTGTTCTATCTGTGCTTTTATCTCTCCATAATCATTATATGCATGTATTTGTTTACTGTTCTCTTCTTTTTTTTTTTTTTTTCTTTTAGTTTTTAAATTTTTTTTTTTTTTTTAGTTTTTAATATATATATATTTTTTTTAATTATCATTTAACTCATCACGCTTCTGACTGCTCATTCTGTCTGGGTCTCAGGTTGTTGCTATTACTATTTGCAAAACATCTTCGCTCCTGATGACCCATCTTTTTACAAGATAAACATGCGTGCACTCTCCCGCATCTTTTGTCATCGCTGCAGTTTCTCCTGTTCCAGTTTATGCAAATCTCACGACCATCGTGCCAAGTTGCATCGTTTCTTGAGGGGCATGATTTGTTGAATTTTTGCCTTTTAGTGGTCGTCACATCAAAGTTGTCCCTTTCGGCTTTTATATTTCTATCAATCAGTGTAGTATCCTGATCCATTGCTAGTGTGAGTCAACGATCTTCATCGTATGCCATTACAGCGGCAAATTCGTACTGTACACACATATTGCTTATATGATCTCGGTAAAAATTTAACTCTTGTTCCCTTTCGTCATAAA